CGCGGTCTGCCCCGCGCTATCTAGGCCAGCCATCCGATGAAGACACGTGCGCGATCGGAAGGCTGGCCCGCATCCTGGCCGAAACAATCTGGGATGTCAGCTGCGCTTCTGCGCGCTGCACTCATAGAGCGAGGCAAACGCACCGCGGGAGCAAGAGAGGGCGGCAGGGACAACTGGCGGGCGTGCTGGATCATATTCGGCATCGGCCGATCCCATCACCCACTCAGCCACCCTGAACCCCAACTCAGAGGTCGACAGTTGGGCGGCCGGGTGAATGAGGAGAAACCGAGGACGATAGATGCCCTGAGCGCCACTCGGCAGTCGTCAAGCCCAAGTGCTGATCACCCATGTCCACGCCGCTGTTGATCTCCTGCTCTGCTGAAGGGCGGCCAGCAAGTCCGACAGCGAAGTGGAGCGCAAGGCGCGCCCTGCCGAGATCTGCGAGGTGGTGATTGCTGGCTGGACCCTCGAGCATGGGCACTAGCTCTGGCGGCGTCGATGGCGCAGCGATGTGTTCGATGTCGATGACCACGCGACCGCCGTGCTGGACCGCTGACCCCGCTGCCGCGCCGCCTGGAGCGCTGACACCGCTGGCGCCTGGAGGGTGGATCCCGCTGCTGATGCCTGGCATGCTGACCAGAGTGAACGCGCCCTTCACGCGGCCTGCACTGCTCGAGTCGGCCGACATGCCCTCTGCAACCGAGACCCCGTTGACGAAGACGCGGTGGCTCACACGAGCTGGCACTTGGCGGCCAGGATGCAGCGACGGCGTCGGGGTATAGCTCGGCGACCTCGACCTTGACATGCGTACGCTCGACGTGGCAACTGGCGCGGCGGTCCTGGTGCTGCGTCCAAGCAACACACAACTCAACCGTGGAAAAAGGTTGTCGCACAACCGAAAGATTTGAACCACAAATGGCAACAGAATACGAGACCCACCTAGAGCCGTCAAGGCCCCTGGCTTCACACGCGGTTATAGAGCATGACGCCCATCAACGCTCATCCACGGCGGGTGTGCCTCATGACCTGTGGCTTCGTACGCAACCATGTGGCCCCGGCGCGGTGTTCTTAGGAGGGGTGATTGGTTGCGCCTTCTGGCATCATAATAAAACTTTGTCTGACGTGTCGGGCGTAGGGTCTGTTTAATTTTCATATGGCCCCCATGGCGGCCGCGCTGAGGTCACATTGGTGCAGCTTTGTGATTTCAAGGGCAGGCGCCGCGTGACGTTGGGGCGCTCTTGGGCGGGGCATGTCTGGCCACCTGTGTTCGTCATTGGAAGGCCTTCGGTCATCTTGGGGCGTCGGGGGGAAGAAACTGTGAAAACGATGAAACCTTACAACATACGTTGGTATATGTATGGCGCTGACCCCTCGCCGTAACCTTGTTCGTCGTTATCTCTGTGTCAGTGCGGCAATTTACTAACGTCGGTTCAACTACGTCTAACTGCAACTGGGTCTGCACGCGCGTGCGTCTGCGACGGGGGGGGAGGCGGCGCATGAATGTGATGGGGCTGCGCGCCTCAAAGAATAGGCCTCGAGAAGCACACGCGCGGCCCCGATGGGCCACCAGCTATTGCGTTATACGCCCTAGGGCACCAACCATGAAAGGCACCAACCACATCCAGAGAGCAAACGCACCTACATTATTGACAAGACGGCGGGGCAGCCCTAACCAACATGATGCGACTACCAGTGCGACTGGAACTGGCATGGGCACCGAGCACTAGACCATCTGACGCTGACCGTTGTAAAACACATCTGTCGGCATCTCATTTTTTCGAAGATGTCTCGAGCGAAACGCTCATTTTTCATGCACAACAAAAATCCTTGACATTTTTCAACACCCCGACTTTCTGAGGATGTCTCGAGCGAAACCGTCATTTTAAACATAAGACGTCTTAAACGATAGCCTCCACCACCTCGATTTTAGGAGGATGTCTCGAGCGAAATGGCCATTTTGGTGCTCCTGTGGAGTTTGCCGTGCGAACGTGTGGTCTGCCGTGCTCCTGTGTGGTCTGGCGTGCTCCTGTATGGTATGCCGTGCTCTTGTGTGGTTTGCCGTGCTCCTGTGTGGTCTGCCGTGCTCCCGTGGGGTCTGCCGTGTCCTGTGTGGTCTGCCGTGCTCCTGTGTGGTCTGCCGTGCTCCTGTGTGGTCTGCCGTGCTCCTTCTTGGTCTGCCGTGCTCATGTGCGGTCTGCCGTGCTCCTGTGCGGTCTGCCGTGCGAACGTGTGGACTGCCGTGCTCATTTGGGGTCTGCCTTGCTCCTTTGTGGTTTGCCGCGCTCCTGTGTGGTCTGCCGTGCTCCTGTGTGGTCAGCCGTGCTCCTGAGGCGTCTACGGTGCTCTTTTGGGGTCTGCCGTACTCATTTGGGGTCTGCCGTGCACCTGTGGTCGGCCGTGCTCATTTGGGGTCTGCCGCGCGCCTGTGAGATCTGCCGTGCTCCTGTTGGGGAATCGCCAGCGGCGTTCGGGGTACAACAAAAAGGCGCGTTTATGTTGTACCCGCGCGCGGTCTGCCGTGCTCCTGTGGGTTCCGCCGTGCTCCTGTGGCGTCTGCCGTGCTCCTGTGGCGTCTGCCGGGCTCCTGTGTGGTCTGCCGTGCTCCTTTGTGGTCTGCCGTGCTCCTGTGGAGTCTGCCGTGCTCCTGTGTGGTCTGCCGTGCTCTTGTGGTCTGCCGTGCTCATTTGGGATTTGCCGTGCTCATGTGGGGTCTGCCGTACTCCTGTGTGGTCTGCCGTGCTCCGGTGGTCTGCCGTGCTCCTTTGGGGTCTGCCTTGCTACTGTGGGGTCTGCCGTGCTCCTGTGTGGTCTGCCGTGCTCCTGTGGTTTGCCTTGCTCCTGTGTGGTCTGCCGTGCTCCTTTAGGGTCTGCTCTGCCGTGCTCCTGTGGGGTCAGCCGTGCTCCTGTGGGGTCTGCCGTGCTCTTGTGGGGTCTGCCGTGCTCTTGTGTGGTCTGCCGTGCTCCTTTGTGGTCTGCCGTGCTCCTGTGTGGTCTGCCGTGCTCCTGTGTGGCCTGCCGTGCTCTTGTGTGTCGTGTCGTGCGGGGCCTATGAAGGCGAAAAGAAGCCCGAGGCCCACGGAGCGCAGTGGCCCCAGGGCCTCAAGGGCCAGCCCTGGGGGCCCGAGAGGGGCCTCCGCAGGGAGGGGGGCGCGGAGCGCCAGACGCGCGAAGCGCAAGATTTCAGAGAAATCAAGAAGGCAGCAGAGGCAGCGGCGCGTACGCACGCCCAACATGCCCCCAACGCTGCGAGTGCGACAAGGCCAGAAGAGCTGCCTCACGCACAGAAAGGAAAAGGATGACGGGGGGCGGACACAACAGAAGGGAGGAAGATGCTGCATCGCACCCCACCGTCACCGACGGCGCGGCGGCGCCTCTTGCGCCTGCCCACGCGTGCCGACTCAGCCGCGGCTGACCGCTCAAGGAGGCTCGCCTCCCAAGGCCGTAGGCGCAAGCTAGTCCTCACCCGTGGCCCCCGCGGGGCCAGGCGCCAGCGGCTCCGCCGCCGCCTCTGCAGCCGCCGCCGCGCCGCTGGGGGGCCCACAGCCGTCGCCAGCGACCTGCCGCAAGGGGCGTGCACGGGGCGGGCCCCCAGCCACTGAAGGAAGCGCACCCGCGCCATCGGCACCACTTCCTCCTTGCGAAGGCAGGGTGCAGCCGAGCCGACCCCCTTGCTGCCGCTGTGGGGCGTGCCAGGGGAGGCCGACATCAACCACTTCTTCGTCGCCTCCTGCGTCCCGCATTCCACGGCAATGGGCCGATGGGCGCTCTGAGCGGGCCAATGGGCGGGGGCTGCCCTTCCCGCTGCAGCTCGGCCATCCACGTCCGCAGGCAGACGTATTCGTAGCGCCGTATGCAGTCCGACACGATCATCTGCGACCGCGTCAGCGTGTAGCGCCACCTGTAGTAGGCCCTCCTCGCAGGCATGCCAGTCCCCCAGGCCCGCTCGCAGATCTCCTCGGCTAACTCCTCGGCCGTCCTCCCACGCGCCCGCAGCCTGGAGGCGAAGCGCGGCTGGGACAGGATCTGCGTGACGTAGCCGACGCAGTGGTCCATCCACTCGCTGTAGCCTTCCATCGTTTCGCCAACCTCGGGGGTCTGGGTCCAGAAGCGCGCCCATACAGCGAGCTGCCGCTCAAGCCTGGGCGCGATGCTGCGCCTCGGCTGCGCTGGCTCGGGCCGAGCCGCCGCAGCGCCAGGCCATAGCTCCTTGAGCTTGGGCGCCGCACCTCTGCTCCCGCCAAGCCTCGCATAAGCCCCGCCGTGGGTGCCCGCCATCAGCTCCAGCTTGGCCGCGCCGACTCCGCACCTGTCGAAGGCAATCCACTGCCAGATGAGGGAGACTTGCGCCTCCCCGCCTGAAAGCTCAATCACCACTTCCATCGTGCCGAAGAGCCCGCGCCTGGCCACCGCACTGGCTCGGTGCCGCTCCGCACCTGCCTTGGCCCAGCTGTCGGCAAGGCCGTTGCCGCTGAGGTGGGCCTCCGTGACCTTGCTGTCCAGCACGCCACAGGCGGTACAGTGAGCTGCGGCCATGGTCGCCTTGAGCGTGTCCACGTCCAGCGAGGCGTAGATCCCCTCCCAGAGAGGGGCATTGGGCCTGCTGGCTGCCGTTGCGTGCCTCTTGCCCAACGTGAGACAGCTGACCGTAGACGCACAGCCGATGAGGATCTCCTCCACACGCGGGCCCAGGAAGCGAGCAGACATCCTGGAGGCGAAGCAGGACGGGGCGATGAGGGTGCGCACCGAAGCCCTCGCGCGTGGTGGCGCAGGAGGCCGCGCTGGCTGCCAACGCCGATGAAGCCTCGAACCAAACGGAGAGGAGGTCGCCGCCCTCGGCATAGCACGTCGCCTCCGAGGGCTCCAGGAAGTGTCCCCGCACCGCCACTGCCACCCCAACTCCACGAGGGGCTCAGGCTCCACGTTGAAGACGGCTTGGAGGACCCGCAGGATGTCGGCAGAGAGGCCCGTCACCTCCGAGAAGGCCGAAAACAGGACCAGGTCGGAGACTCGCGGGCCCGCAGGGTGCTGGACATACTCAGAGACCGCCAGGGACTGCGGGCCCGAGGCTGAGGCTACCTCCACACAGCGAATGCGGTGCCGCAAGGCGGAGGGCAGCGAGAACTCTGACTCGGCGGCCTGCACGCCGACTCGCACAAGGACCGCCGCCCCGCCTGAGGTCGCCTGGGGCCCCTGGTTGACCGACAGCGCTGCCTCGGGGAGGACTGCCACGTAGCCCAGGCCGCGGGCCTGAGCCGCTGCACTGGGCAGGCGCACATGCGATAGCCTCGTCTCCTGCCGCGCCACCACGTCGAGCCAGTAGTAGCACGTCTTGGAGAAGGCCTCTATGACCTCGATGCTCCTGCTCCAAGTGTTGCCATTGCAGCCGAGGAGGACAAGGCCAGCTCGTAGCTGCTGGCCTCCCCCCCTGTCCACCATCGGCGCCTTGCCCATGACGGCTGCCACGCGGACTGCACGCTGCCCAGCGCACGACACAGAGGACGCCGAGCCCCTGGTCGCGGGACCCTCCGCCCCCACCAGGACTGGAGGGGGAACCTGGCCCCACGCTCCAGCGCTCCTCATCGGCGAGGGCGGGCCGCTGGCCTGCGCGGGAGGTGGCCACCGCAGAGGAGGAGGCCATCCCTCGACCCCTCCGGTTGCCAGCGGGGGGTGTCCCTGCCCATCACCAACGGGGCCGAGAGCTGCGACGTCGTGGGGCTGAATCCCACCGCTCACGGCCCCTGGCTGGCCGTCGGGGGGCCACCTCGGTGTTCCCGACCGCGCCAGTTGGCTACCTCGGGCAGGGGTGCACGGCGCCGCCCGCCGCTTGCGATGGCCGCGGGTGCGCCAGCAGCCACCACAGCACCTCCTCCACCTGTCCCAGCAGCTGGGCCCTCGCACGTCCTGAAAGAAGGGCGCACCGCTGCCCCAGACGTCGATGTCGGCGGTGGAAGCTGCCCACTCCAACGCTCTCGCATCACCCACGGCGCGGCCCGTATCCAGCAGCAGGAGCAGCAACAGCACCCGCAGCCACCAGGGGGTCGCTGTCCGCGAGGGCCGCCCCTTGCTCGGCGAGGGCCTTGGCGAGGCCCGGCTCCACCTGAGGCCACGTGCCCAGGGTCGCCCCGTGCTGGCCGCGGGCCGCAGCAGGGCCGTAGGGCCCGTCCACTGACTTGGCCCGCGGGCCTGGCGGCCCAGCCGCGGTGGGCCCTGCCTGCGGGGCTGCAGAGGGCGGGGCGGCCGCAGGCCCCCCAGAGGCCACGATGTCAAGCGGCATGTCGTCAACATCGGTCGCGAGGCCATCGTCCCCGACGCTGTCCCCCCAACGCGTCGTGGCCGAGCTGCTGCGGGGCCTGAGCACTTCGGCGACCGCCTCCTTCTGCGTGTTGAGAATCCCGACGATCTCGGAAAACCTCGGGGGCAGCTCCGACCCGTGCTGCTTGAGGAGATCCGACAGGGCGCCGACCTGAGTGAGCAGCCCTTGGACTGCGTCCCCAAGCGGGCTCGGAACACCTCCGACGGCCACGTTGGCCCGCTGGATCGCCTGCTGCGTGACCTTGGCTCGGGTATCCTCCAGCTCGGCAATCTGCCCCGCGACCTCATCCACTCCCAGCTCGGCTGCCGAGAGCTGCTCCTGCTTCTCAGCGATGAGTTCGCGCAGCTCGGACGCCTGCAGCTGGAGCTTCTCCTTCTTGGTGCGCGCCGCAGCCAGCTGGCGCTCGACCTTCTTAATGGCGTTGGCCTCGATGTGGAGCACCGAGTGAGGTGGGCGCACCGTCCGCTGGGCATCCTGGACGGCCAGCTCCAGGGCTGCGACCTGGTCCTTGCCCAGCTGGAGGGCGCTCTCGGCCTCACGCTGGAAGTCCGCCGAGAGCCCGAGCGCCAGGGCCCCCTGGAGCTTGCCGACGCGCTCCCTGGCCGCCACGAGCTGCGCCTGCAGCTCCTCGAACTGGGCCTTGGCCTCCCCCCAAGGTCGCCCACGCCGCGCCCTGCTGTTGGGGGTGCTGCTGGGCGCGGTGCTCCCAGAGAGGGCCCGCTGGGAAGCTGAGCGCCTCGCAGCCCGCTGTTCAGCCCTCCCTCTGGGCTGCTGTACGAACCCGTCAGCGTCCACTCTCGGGGGGCCCTTGTCAGTACGGTACTCCTTCGTCCAAGGGGGCGCACTGGTGCCACACACTTTGCACGTCCAACGCTTGTCGCACCAGTTCCAAGCGTTGCAGCCACGCTTACCACACAGCCAGTACGCCCGCTTGGCCAGCCCCGAGGCAACCTCCGACATGGCGGCACACCGTGGGACTGACTGATGCACAGCCGAGACCCACGGCCCTGCAGGAACGTGGAGAAACAAAATTGGCGAAGCTTCTGGCTCTTGGCGAAGCGCCCCTCGCGCTCCAGAACGCCCGACGGACTCGCGGTCGTCGGGTGCGCCATGGCCTTGAGCCAAAATGGCTACGGACCCGTGCTCTTCTGTGTGGTCTGCCGTGCTCCTGTTGGTCTGCCGTGCTCTTCTATGGTCTGCCGTGCTCCTATGGGGTCTGCCGTGCTCCTGTGGGGTCTGCCGTGCTCATGTGTGGTCTGCCGTGCTCCTGCGCGGTCTGCCGTGCTCCTGTGGCGTCTGCCGTGCTCCTGTGTGGTCTGCCGTGCTCCTGTGGTCTGCCGTGCTCATTTGGGGTTTCCCGCAGCTTGTGTGGTCTGCCGTGCTCCTGTGGGGGAAACGCCAGCGGCGTTCGGGGTACAACAAAAGGCGCGTTTATGTTGTACCTGCGCGCGGTCTGCCGTGCTCCTGTGGGGATTGCCGTGCTCCTGTGTGGTCTGCCGTGCTCCTGTGTGGTTTGCCGTGCTTCTGTGGTCTGCCGTGCTCCTTTGTGGTTTGCCGTGCTCCTGTGGGGTCTGCCGTGCTCCTGTGGGGTCTGCCGTGTTCCTGTGAGGTCTGCGGTGCTCCTGTGTGGCCTGCCGTGCTCTTGTGTGGTCTGCCGTGCTCCTGTTGGTCTGCCGTGCTCTTCTATGGTCTGCCGTGCTCCTATGGGGTCTGCCGTGCTCCTGTGGGGTCTGCCGTGCTCATGTGTGGTCTGCCGTGCTCCTGCGCGGTCTGCCGTGCTCCTGTGGCGTCTGCCGTGCTCCTGTGTGGTCTGCCGTGCTCCTGTGGTCTGCCGTGCTCATTTGGGGTTTCCCGCCAGCTTGTGTGGTCTGCCGTGCTCCTGTGGGGGAAACGCCAGCGGCGTTCGGGGTACAACAAAAGGCGCGTTTATGTTGTACCTGCGCGCGGTCTGCCGTGCTCCTGTGGGGATTGCCGTGCTCCTGTGTGGTCTGCCGTGCTCCTGTGTGGTTTGCCGTGCTCCTGTGGTCTGCCGTGCTCCTTTGTGGTTTGCCGTGCTCCTGTGGGGTCTGCCGTGCTCCTGTGGGGTCTGCCGTGCTCCTGTGAGGTCTGCGGTGCTCTTGTGTGGTCTGCAGTGCTTCTGTGTCTGCCGTGCTCATTTGGGATCTGCCGTGCTCGTGTGGTGTCTGCCCTGCTCCTGCGGGATCTGCTGTGCTCCTTGTGTCGTCTCTTTGGTCTGCCGTGCTCGTGTGGGGTCTGCCGTGCTCCTGTGTGGTCTGCCGTGCTCCTGTGGTCTGCCGTGCTCCTTTGGGGTCTGCCGTGCTCCTGTGTGGACTGCCGTGCTCCTGTGGGGTTTGCCGTGATCCTGTGTGGTCTGCCGTGCTCCTGTGCGGTCTGCCGTGCTCTTGCGGGGTTTGCCGTGCTCCTGTCGGCTCTGCCGTGCTCGTTTTGGGTCTGCCGTGTTCCTGTTGGGTCTGCCGTGCTCTTGTGTGGTCTTCCGTGCTCCTGTGTGGTCTGCCGTGCTCCTTTGGGGTCTGCCGTATTCGTGTGGGGTCTGCCGGGCTCCTGTGTGGTCTGCCGTGTTCCCTTTGTGGTCTGCCGTGCTCCTGTGGAGTCTGCCGTGCTCCTGTGTGGTCTGCCGTGCTCCTTTTTTTCCGCCTGCCGTGCTCCTGCTCATTTTCTGAGGACGTCCCGAGCGAAAACGTCATTTTTAACATAAGAGGTTGTAAAACACCTCTGTCGGCATCTCATTTGTTCGAGGATGTCTCGAGCGAAACGCTCATTTTTCATGCACAACAAAAATCCTTGACATTTTTCAACACCCCGACTTTCTGAGGATGTCTCAGGCGAAACCGTCATTTTTCCCCACATCCAAAGTGGGGTTCTTGTTTTCTCTGCACACCCCGCGCAGGAACACTCACCCCACCCCCTCTCCTCTTCTGCCTTCGCACACTCACTCACTCACTCATCATCATCACCACTCACTCACACTCACACTCACTCACACTCTCTCATCATCAACATCAGCATCATCACTCGCGTTCTCTCACACGCTCAGCACTCTCTCACACGCTCACGAACATCATCGTCATCATCGGTATCGGCATCATCCTCATTCAAACATCATCATCGCCACCACCACCCACAATCAATCATCATCCTCTTCACCACTCATCTTCACCACCACTCATCATCCTCATCCTCATCATCGTTGAGTAAAGTGTGAGGAAGTCTCAGGCGGGAGCCCCCTCCCTATGGGGCCCGCAGATCATGTTGGTAATCCGAGCGGGTCATCGGAACCTGTAACTGTCGTCACTTTTGGGCTCCCCAGGCCTGAAAATGGAGGAAGTCTCAGGCGGGAGCCTCGTCTGTGAGTGAATTGGGAGGAAGTCTCAGGCGGGAGCTCCCTCCCTATGGGGCCCGCAGATTATGTTGGTAATCCGAGCGGGTCATCGGAACCCTGTAACTGTCGTCACTTTTGGGCTCCTCAAGCCTGAATATGGAGGAAGTCTCAGGCGGGAGCCTCGTCTGTGAGTGACTTCTGAGGAAGGCTCAAGCGGGAGCCCCCTCCCTATGGGGCCCGCAGATCATGTTGGTAATCCGAGCGGGTCATCGGAACCCTGTAACTGTCGTCACTTTTGGGCTCGTCAAGCCTGAATTTGGAGGAAGTCTCAGGCGGGAGCCTCGTCTTTGAGTGAATTGTGAGGAAGTCTCAGGCGGGAGCCCCCTCCCTATGGGGCCCGCAGATCATGTTGGTAATCCGAGCGGGTCATCGGAACCCTGTAACTGTCGTCACTTTTGGGCTCCCCAGGCCTGAAAATGGAGGAAGTCTCAGGCGGGAGCCTCGTCTGTGAGTGAATTGGGAGGAAGTCTCAGGCGGGAGCCCCTCCCTATGGGGCCCGCAGATCATGTTGGTAATCCGAGCGGGTCATCGGAACCCTGTAACTGTCGTCACTTTTGGGCTCCTCAAGCCTGAATTTGGAGGAAGTCTCAGGCGGGAGCCTCGTCTTGAGTGAATTGTGAGGAAGTCTCAGGCGGGAGCCCCCTCCCTATGGGGCCCGCAGATCATGTTGGTAATCCGAGCGGGTCATCGGAACCCTGTAACTGTCGTCACTTTTGGGCTCCTCAAGCCTGAATATGGAGGAAGTCTCAGGCGGGAGCCTCGTCTGTGAGTGAACTGCGAGGAAGTCTCAGGCGGGAGCCCCCTCCCTATGGGGCCCGCAGATCATGTTGGTAATCCGAGCAGGTCATCCAAAACCTGTAACTGTCGTCAATGTTGGGTTCTCGCGCTGCCAGAACGCAGTTCCCAGGCCACACTTTGGATGCAACAAGGAAGTTTTTGGGCTCCTCAGGTCGCCGAGGTGCTGCGACAGGGCGCCGAAGGCGCCGACGACGACGGCCAGGCCGAGGCGCGGGCGCGGAGCTTGCTGATGTTCAGGCCCAGCGAAAGGGAGTTCACATGGCAGAGCTCGGGGGCGCACAGCGTGCGCCGCTCGGGGTTCACCCTGACGCACGCGTCCTACCTGACCTCCACGCTGTCGCAGGGCCAGACGCTGCGCAAGGGCGTCACCATCGACTGCGCGAGAGACGAGGACGCTGGCCGCACGGGCATGTCGGACGAGCAGTGGTGGCTGCACCTCTACGTCATGTTCTCCCGCGCCACGTGCATGCGGAACATGCTGATCCTGCGGCCGCCGCCGCGAGAGTTCCTGGAGTGCGGGCCGCCGGCGTCCCTGCGGAAGGCGCTCCTGGAGTTCGACAAGAGAACGGTTTTGTCCAGGGCGGAGGCGAAGCAGCTCGCGGCAGAGCTGGGCTTCGTGCTGCCTTCCGCCTGAGCGCGGCTGCGCCTCGCTCGAAGCCCGCGGGGTTGTCCCAACGGCTTGGTCTTGCGCGCCAACGGCTCGCGGGGTTGTCCCGACAGCCTGGCCCGCGGGGTTGTCCCAACGGCTGCGCGACGTGACCTGTAGAGAACGCGCCTGTGCTGGCCGTGGCGGCGACGGCGCCGAGGAACATCGACATGCGCGCTCATGCAACAGGAAGGGGAGGAGGTGGCGGGGCGCGGAACAAACAGGGGGGCGAGGATGGGGACAACGTAAGGAGTGGAAGGGGGGCCCGCGCCAAGGCGAGAGGAAATATACGCAGAAGAGACAGCCAGGACGCCTCACCAACCACGAGGACGACGGTGATGGCTTTTTCCAGACTCGCCCAGAGGATTCTTATGTGGGGTTCTTCCGTCGGAGTAATTAACATAAGACGTCTTAAACGATAGCCTCCAACACCTCGATTTTAGGAGGATGTCTCGGGCGAAATGGCCATTTTTGGGAATCCGCCAACGACGTCTTGAGGGCGCTCTTGGTGCCTGGTCTGCCGTGCTCCTCGTCTTGGTCTGCCGTGCTCCTCTCGGTTCCTAAGACGTCTTAAACGATAGCCTCCAACACCTCGATTTTAAGAGGATGTCTCGAGCGAAATGCTCGTGGTCTGCCGTGCTCCACACAGGAGCACGGCAGACCACCTGCTCATTTTCTGAGGACGTCCCTAGCGAAAACGTCATTTTTAACATAAGAGGTTGTAAAACACCTCTGTCGGCATCTCATTTTTTCGAGGATGTCTCGAGCGAAACGCTCATTTTTCATGCATAACAAAAATTTTTGATATTTTTCAACATCCCGATTTTTTGAGGATGTCTCGAGCGAAACCGTCATTTTTAACATAAGACGTCTTAAACGATAGCCTCCAACACCTCGATTTTTCGAGGATGTCTCGAGCGAAATGGCCATTTTGGGGAACCTGACCGGACAAGAACGGGAAGCGCCGTTTTTTATCCACCACGTGCGTCAGAGACCGTATTGGCGAGAACGTCAGAGAAACCCATAAACGCAACAGAACAGACTAAATGATGGCCTGCCGCGCTCCGACGGCCCAAGACGGCCCAAGAGGCCCCCAAGATCGCTTTAAGATCGCCCAAGAGGCCTTCAAGATGGCCCCGAAACGGCCCAAGAAGTCCCCAAGA